ACTCGTCGACGTTTAATTTTTAAAATTATAAATATTACTGGGCTGCGCCGTGCACTCAATTATGCAAGATCGGCGAAATGCACTACTGGGCCTAGCCGAGCTGTGATGAATTGACATCGTCAATTAATATTTAAAGCAACTATTTTATATTTGAGTATATTGAAATAAATTATTACGAGTATACCTTAATTGACGATGCAGATGTCAATTCATGGCAGCTCGGTGCGGCACTGTAGCGCATCGCGCTACAAGAGTATACCCGTTAACAAAAATGCGCGGCGTGAACATTTTTTACATTGGCGCGGCGCGGTCAACGTTTATATTGCTCTATCCAGAGCCTTTGCGCTTGCAGTAGTGCGTGCACGCCTCACGGCGGTAAAAGGGCTTTAGTATCTATATTATAACGAATTAATTAATATTTTAATATTTTATAATTTATTCGGTAATTTTATCTGATATTGATTATATTAATAAGTAAGTAAGTAAGTAAAAATTATGACATAACATCATCATACATGTCTACAAAATATTAAATCACTATATGGAAAAATATAAATATCCTACCACCAAAATTAATAAATTATTAACTACAACTTTATTTGTTATTGAAAATTTCAAATAAATTCAAAAGGCATATTTTTGATACTGTTAATATTGAACAAAGCTAACTCTAGACATAGTTTTTATTACTTCTTTTAACAAAAGGACAATCTTTTGCTATTCCAAGTCCCCTAAGATATCTGATCTAAAGTTCGTATTGTAAATGACTTTCATTTTTTGAATGTTTCGAAAGAAGTTTGACATACGTTGCATGCCACTTTTCGCGCGCGAAGCGCGCGTCGCCGAAGGCGGGATACGAAACATGTATCAAAAAGAAGTTTTAACAAGAATTGAAGGTACTAGGATACAAGGATACAAGGATACAAGGATACAAGGATACAAAAGTGATAATTATTTTATTGAATTCACAATAGTTATAATTCTGAAATAATTTAAGGTTACACAATTCTAGTTATTTACAAATGTGTAGGGATAAAATAGAAATGTTTTATAATACTATTTTTGAGGTCCTATAGCATTATGCATTGGCCAGTATTTGAGGGGAAATCTGGGCTCTTATAGTAGGCTGTAAAATTTTCGTTCACAGAGAGAATTGAATGGATTGCTCTTGCTGTGGCAGTAAATTTTGTAGGGTCTAGTGTTTTATCGGATAGCAAACCGGCTAGGTCAGTAATATTTTTGGGATGGAAGTTAAATTTTTCTCTAACTGAGGAGTAGAGTAAACAGTCAGTTAGAACATGAATTTCGTCCTCAATAGGCTTAAGCCCCTTGCTGAAAAAGCAAAAAGTGCACCATCGATGTTCTCTTGGTACTAGGGGGGTTTCGTAACGGCCCCTCTCAATGTAAAGATTGTGGCAGCTAATACGAAACCTTGTTAAGCTTTTCCGAGCATCGGGGATCTTAACCACTCCTAAGTATGTTTCTGGTTCAAAATCATGTTTAATTTGATTGTAGAATTCTAATTTAGGTGAGGATGCCTTGGCAGATTTCCAGGTATCCACAAATTCTTCCCTCATGTTGTGACTGATTTGGGTAGAGAGCTTGGATTTTGAAGAGGATGAGTGGGGGAAGATATATTTGGTGAGAAGATTAGAGATGTTGGTGTACCAAGGAAGGCCCAGCATAATCTGCTCGTGAAATGCAGCGGAGAGGAGTTCATTTTCAGTGCTTTCAAGACGACTATAGAAATCTATTGCAAGTTTGCAGGCTTCAAAGAAGAGGGGGTGGCGCCCATTTTCGCCCCAGCAGCCTATATTTGATGCTTTTGAATGGACAGACAAGGACCACTTGATAAACTTAAGGTGGAATCTTTCATAGTGGTCTTTTTTACGACACAGTAATTTATTGACACTCACAGCTATAATTTTAATCATTGAATCAGTATTTTTATCTGTGCTCTGCGAATGCATCACATGAATCAGTTTTTTAATCTATTAACTTATTACACATTTGTGCTCTGCTTTAGCATCACTTGACTATTTTAAAAAAATTGTTTGTTCAGGCCATGACCTTATAGTCAGCCAATTGGCCATTGCTATATTATGTGTATATTGTTTGAATATTCTTTACTTTCATAGTGGTCTTGTGAGATGTACCTGAGAGTATGCTGGGGGTTGGCTTTGCTATCTGTTTTGGAGAGGTATCTCATGGTTTTTGAGTGAGGACATAAGTTATACCAGTTATATCAGTAATAAGGAAAAACACAATGATTATCTGTGGTTCCATCCTTATGTAGCAAAGAAACGTTTTATAAATCTTTACTCCACTGGGAAGTATGAATAAATTAAATTTTGTAATGTTGTTTTTATTCATGATTAATATTTGATAAATTATTTTTTTTATATTTGATAAATATTTGATAAATTATTACCTTTAAATTTGATGGAGAAATAGTTATTTTTCCATGTAGTGTGATGATACTTTGTAGACATTACTTTACTTCGTGCTAGTTATATATATGAAATATATTCTTGTCTGCTTTAATTGATACTAAATAAAATTGTTGTTTTCTTGAAAACTCTGCTATAGCCTGAGAAGTTTGAACAATGTCTTCTAAGATGGTCACTTTCCGCTCGAGAAACTTGACATGAGATTTGAGTGCAGTATTTTTGATCACATTCCGACAATAGTTTCCCAAAAAATGTTTCTATTGAATCGTCCATGATATTGAGTTGATGATTTGAATTGAGTTGATGATTTCATTTGAGTTGATGATTTCAATTGAAGGGAATTGAAGAGTCCACATGTGAGATTTGTTCCATTCCAATAACGTTACATTCGTATTACTTTGGTCATACCTCAATAAACGTAATAGATTTGTAGTGTTGTAATTAGTTTAAAACTGACTATAGTAGTAGTAAAAAACTACAGTAGTAGTAAACCTGCGATGAGGTGGCATGTGCCTCAATAAAAAATATTACGAACATTTATTATATCAATTTTATCATATTATAATTCGACAATATCGAAAAAATTATGGCAAAAATAGAAATAATCTACACTAAAGAATTAATAACCTATAAATTATATTAATCAAATTAAAAAAAAAAAATGTTATCCACCTTGAAGCTGCATCTTATATGTTTATATCCTTGAACCACACAATATAAACTAAAGCCTGTTTTAGTGTAGACTTTTTGTCACAACAAGACTGCAACCTATAGTAACAACTATAAACAGAACCCCTATGTCTGCTAACAATTTTTCTTCTAGTCCTAATATGAGCCTTGTCTCTAAAAACTTAACTAAACTAGCATTTCCGTGTGTGCAAAAGCTTCCAGGCATGCGCATTCCTTGCCCCGTTAGTTACCTGTCCTTCCAAAACCAAACTAGCAGTCAAGGACAAAAAGTCATACACCAAATGGACATTATATTTTATGAATTGTTTTACATCTTTTTATTCTGTAAAAATGTGCTAAAATTTAATCATTGAATTTCTTGTTTCATTGAATTTCTTGTTTTATTGAGTAGAAATCTGAGTATTTTTGTTATCACGCAATGCGCAAAGAATTTCGTAAAAAATGTGTACAGTGTAGATAAGCCTAGGTGTGGCATTGAAAGTTGAAAAAATTGCAGTGACTGACTGTTAAATACATTATCACAGTTCTTTTATTTGACTGCACTAACGTTTAGGATTCTTACAGCTGTTATACAGGGTGTCCCAAAAAATACTACCCAATAAGAAACCCTCCTAATTTTCTCAGTTTGAACTCATTGGTTTTGATCTCTTAGTACGATTTTCTAGAGGGTTAGGAGACTTTTTTAGGACCATTGGGAGTCTCATATAAACTTGATGGGCAACATTTTTTCGATGTTAAAGATATGCTAAGAAATCTTGGTGTGATCCCAGAATGGGTGATAGTTTTCGTCCATGATGGAATCCTAGTTTTGAAACGTTTTGACTGCCCCAAGTTGTAAACCAGGCATATACAGACACAATGGAAAGTATTCTTCACAATGAGAACTGAAATGGAGGTTTTTGATATGGTCCAGCATGTTTTGGGAGCATTTTCGGGCCACACCCTTTTTTTACCTTTAACTGCGTAATTTTGCCCTATTTTCATACTATTTTAAATTTTTGGCTACCTTGATCTGTCAGTACACTTACCAAGAAACATATGCGACCATTAAAGCTAGAAAATTAGCGACTTTCGCATAAAAAATTGCATAATTTATGCAAATTCGGCCTATCGTCAATTTTTGGGTTTCAGGCCAGCTGGGAAATGACCATTTGTGAGCACCTCTTGGGACTTTTAGCAGTAACTGTGGTGTTTGGGAGTTAGATGAGACAAAAAGGAACAGTTTGCAATCGAATTCATGACAAAAGTTTTTTTTCCTCTTGGCTCAGCGCTCCGAATGGTGGACGAGCCAATAATTTGAGGACTTTTCCGGACAATTTTTGTCATTTTTGAAATGAGGACTTAAAATAGTTTGCTTAAGTTTTCAGAAGTCACAAACAAATCTCCCAACCTTTTTTAGGTAAACATACTAAGACATGAGTACCATTAAAGGAAAATTGAGGAAATTAGGAGGATTTCTCACTTGGTAGTGTTTTTTGGGACACCCTGTATTTTGTTTAAGTTGTAAAGAACAAAGTTCTTGTCAGTCCATGAAAAGTTTTTTACGTCAAGGTTTTGTTTATCAAGTAAATAATGTACAATGTTGTCCTTAAATGAATTGATGAACTTATCTTGTAACTTAAGTGCGTTAAAGGGAAGGATTTATTTATTTAATTTACCATGTTTTTATATAATCATAGTCCTACGTTAGAGATGCTATAATCGGCGATACGTAATCTGTTGAACTGAATTATAAAATACTATAGATTTCTCCTTTCTGTTTGTCTAAGTGGTGCCTTTTCAAATATATTACCGATACTTGATGGTGCTACTCCCATATGAACCTTGTGCATTGAAGTTAGTATAGAATACTAATACTAAATCCATTTAGCCAAGACTTCAAAATGAAGATCGAAGAGGTAAAATCAACAACTAAGACACAGAGAATTGCCGCTCATTCTCACGTGAAAGGACTTGGAGTAGACGATAAGGGTGTTGCTTTGCAGGTTGCTGCAGGTCTTGTTGGTCAAGAGCTTGCAAGAGAGGTTCGTTTGTCTTCATTCTTTCAAAGTTTACTTTTAATTTTTACACTAGTTCTAGTGTAATTACTAGACTCAAAATTTAGGGACCAGGTACAGTTCTATTTTTATTTAGAGAAGACATTATGCAACATGGTACTATTCCATGTTACTTCTTTAATTAATATAAAAGCTTAAAAGGAGTATCAACAAGTGATCCCCCTCCCCCCCTATCAAGGTGATACCCCCATTATATAGGCATGGGGTAACCCCCCCCCCCATCAAAGTGATACCCCCATTATATAGCTCTAATTAACCACCCCCCCCTATCAAGGTGATACCGCCATTATATAGCTCTAATTAACCACCCCTCCGCAGGCATGTGGTACCCCCATTATATAGCTCTAATTAACCACCCCGCCCCCCCTATCAAGGTGATACCGCCATTATATAGCTCTAATTAACCACCCCTCCGCAGGCATGTGGTATTGTAGTGGAGCTTATTAGAGCAAAGAAGATGGCTGGAAGAGCAATTTTACTTGCCGGACCCCCTGGTACTGGCAAAACCGCCCTTGCTCTAGCTATTGCTCAAGAACTTGGCTCAAAAGTTCCTTTCTGTCCTATGGTTGCTTCTGAAGTTTACTCTTCTGAGGTTTGCTTCAAATACATTAACAATTTTTTAATACTGCTGTTATATTATTACAAAATGTAATGTTACTTAGCCGAGTGCAAGTTCGCATCATTGTTAGTTTTTGTAAGGGGCCTCACAGCTCTAGAGATTTTGTATTATAAAGTTATAACAGAGAAAAGTGTATCCAGATATTAGCTCTGTATTTTGTTGTCAGTTTAATAAGTATATCAGCCCTGAGTAATGATCTACATATTTGTACTTAATGTTAAAATACATTGTACATTGTACATTGTATTTAATGGTAAAAAACCTTGAAATAAACAGTATTCTGTGTCCCAACGTTTGTCACAATTAGATTGCTTGCAGGTGAAGAAAACAGCTGTACTTATGGAGAACTTCAGACGAGCAATTGGGCTGCGAATAAAGGAAACTAAAGAGGTGTATGAAGGAGAGGTGACCGAGCTGACCCCGTGTGAGACTGAGAGTGCTATGGGAGGCTACGGTAAAACTGTACAGCATGTTATTATTGGAATGAAGACTGCAAAAGGAAACAAACAGCTCAAGGTAAGTTAGATTTTTGATTATAATTCAAACGTTCTACAAATTGAATACTCAATTCCAATACTTGTAATATAAAATTATTGGGTTTTGCAGGACCTGGAGACGATTTGATATCTGGGTTAAGATGTTTTCAGTAAGGCTTTATTTAATAGCTTGCTATTTACCTAATACCTGGGTTTACCTTTACCCTGCCTTATCCCCCGTGGTATAATTGACGATATTACTACAGTAATCAGTAATCAGTACTATATTACTTATATATTACTTATTACTTATATATAATTTATATAATATCAATCATTACTGTGACAATATTATGTTGTATCTCTATATCAATAACCACGTACCTAAAGTACCACAGTAAGCAATAGAGGCTGTATCACGTGGTTTGAAAGATACAGGCAGAGTGATGATTGGAATAATGCCTTGGTGATAGGTAGAGCCGGGGAAACCTACAGGAATGAACAAAAATCTTTTACAATGTCGACTCTGGACGAGTCAAACGGTGAACCCGTATCAGTTGAGTTGGATAAATCTGTACAAGTGCAGAGCTGGTTAAGATTGTTCATGGATGTCTCTCGAAGAGAGGTGCAGTTTTCAGCCAAGCTCGCTTAATTCATAGATCAGGATACTGTGATATGTCAGAGAGAGTTATAACTGTTTGGAACTTAATGTTGTAGAAAAGAGATTGAATATTTTTGCTGGATTATTTGTTGTTTGAATGTCAATTTGGTTAAACAATAACTTTTTTAAACGTAATTATATGTAATAAAATTTAACTTTATATTGTGTGTGTATATATTGTTATTGTTAGAATTACCAACTTTGTAACGGTGTCATTGTTACATTTTTAACCTTTCAGAGACTTCTTTTAACATGCACGAGGTGTTGGTATTTAACAATCTTTGAAAAACATTTGTAACTCTTTTTACACGTTTCATTAATTTTGTGTTTTTATGTTCAGAGAAGTTCTCGAACAGATAGTTTCGGGAAAAGGATAATTTTGGACAATTTTTGTCGTTGTTCATATTTTTTACTGGAGAAGTAGTAAGTTGGGAATGTTTGGATGAAAAGTAGGTGATCCCATTTTTAGGAACCATTTCTATCCTTTCTTTTCTTTTCTCTTATTCTGGTATGAAACTTTTGGTGTATTTGCTAAATTTTCAACAATTTTGGGTGAAGAAAACTTAGATTAGTTAGCGAATCTGGACGTTTGGGTTGTGTTGTACCAGGAAGCTTTACGCTCCTTTTCTTTTTGTGTTGTAGCGCACACGGGTCACAATTTGTCAGTTGATTTGCTAAATTTTCTATAAAATGGTGTTGTATGAGATAATAAGGAATTCCAAATAGTAACATTTAAAGTACATTGTGTTACGTGACATGTGTAATAAAATTACCGCTAACAGAATATTTCAGATTCCTACTTCCTAAAAAGTCTAACATTTCAGGTTCAAACTTTCTTTCAGAAAGACGAATCCTTTCTTCTCAAAAGAATTGAAAGTATTTACCTGATAATTACTTTTAAACTTGCATATTCTCGTAGGAAGTTGTTAACAGGGGAGTTTGGGTATTTTCTGTTGGGATGAGCTAGGGAGCAGGTTGCTCAGCTTTGTGTGTTTTTGGTTTTATAGAATGCTGTCGTTTCGATCAAACATTGCTATTTCATCTTTTTGGGGTTTTTTTTTCTTCACTGATTCCCGTGACTTTAGGGACTCAGTTTTGAACTGTTTTTTAAACGACAGTATTGTTCGTTTTTTTAGAATGTTTAAGTACAGTGGTGTGTGTCAAATGATTGTTAGTGACTAATTATTGACTCTTAGAGGTTGTGTTTTTAAAGCTTGAATAGGCTCCCTAATATTTAGTTTTAGTACGCAGTTTTCTGTCATTACGATAACTCAATACAGAAATCTCTAAGATACACACCTTGTTTAAAGTGATGGACGGGTTTTATTTTTTTGTGCAACATGTCAGTCTTAGAAACGATGTTTCAATTCCGTTATAGAAAAAGAGATTTTCGTATTAAGAATCTTTGAAAGTTATATTAGCTAATAGTTAGACTGTATTAATTCTATCGGACGTTTTGTACAAGTAATTATATCTCTCAGATCTCACGCTCAGCGTGGAAAGGAAGGCAGTCATTCTTTTTAGCCACGAGCCATGTTTTACAGCGGATGTTTTTCCCGCGTTAACAGAGATTTAATCCACTTGTACCACCGTGAACTCGCCGAATATGGATATAATCGTTACACTGCTTTCTTTAGTTACGCTTTATGACAGTGGACATGACACGTTATTATGAAATTAGAAAAAATATTTCGGATTGAGCCGCGCAATTTTCTCAAAACTTCAATAGAATGTATTTTTTAGCGCACACGACACGGTTTTTGTGCAGCGTATGCCGCGGTACTAGATATTTTTACTTAACATTTTTTAGAGTTTATCTCCTAATTTTAACTGGGATAGTGGATATCTATTTTTTAACAAGAAGGAAAGTATAGGAGCTATGACTTTAAGATTGTAAAAAGTCATGAGTTTTTTTAAATTATTAGTAAGTAATTTTTCTTTTTTAAAGTAGGGGGAAATGTTTAGAATCTTAATTCTATTTGGTAGTTGTTTTTGTACTTCATATTACTAACCCTGCTATCTCACTTTAGCATTGGGTTAGTTCCAGTGATGTATATACTGTGTTGGGTAAAGGGACTCCTGAAGGCAGACAAGGCTCTCGACTCAAGACTCTAGTTGATGTAACAGTAGAGAGAGGAGGGTCCTTGTTTCGTTGGACTCAGACTCTAGCGAAGCAGAAGGGAGAGGAGTGACGTTTATTTGGTTCGACTCCCGACTCTATGAGTAGCAGAAGGGAGAGGGAAGTGACGTTGTTTTGTTTAGATTCCCACAGATTACTGTCGGACAGATTCTATCTGTGTTCGTGCCGTGGAAAGTGTGAGTATGTAGGTTTATAGTTATGTTTAGTAGTTTTGTCTAGGATGTTCCCGCTTCCTCTTTCACTTCATTTTTATAGTTTCACGAGGATTACCTTTCACTTTACTCACGGTAGTTTTACCCCAGTGTTTTTTCTTTATAGTTATCAGTTCCAGTTTAGTTGAAGTCCTCATCATTTCAGAAGTCCCCTCATTATAGTAAAGAAGAACATCATCATAGAGTAGTATTTTAAATTTTAATAGTTGTTTAATCTAATAGTATTAAAAAGACATTATTTAGTTTAGTATTGATTTGTGTATTAGTTAGAGCTAGTGATTGTGTTTGTGAGTACACTGGAGTCATACACAATCACCTTTTTAATTCACTCATTCACTATGTGAGGGGTGAGTTTACATAGAGTAAAACAAGGTTACATTTGAAACACCATTTTTTTGTATAAACCTCTTTATTCATTAATTTGTATTTATAATAAGTTGAGTATTATTTGTTATTTAATTTAACCCCAAGAACAGGGTCGACACTTGCATTCTTTGGTAAAATATTTGATAAAATGTATATTTCAACAGATTATATAGCTTCTTTCATTCACAGAAATTCCTTGTTTGAAAACCTCGTACGGATTCCGTTAAAAATCATTCGTCTAGTTATGCTTTAATTACTCAGTTAACCAATAGAATCACGTTCAAGAAAAAAATCTCACGCTACTGTTGCGATAATATCAGATTTTTTGATCTTAGCAAAGCTTTTAATACAAAACTCACATGAAAAGTTACATGCATAAGGTTAGGAAAATTATGGGATCCGTGGAAAATGCAAACAACCTTATTAGCAAGTTACTGTCGGAATAGATACCAGTATGTCCCAGTATAGTATTAGGTGAAGAACTCTCAGAAACTGGCCCGTTTGTCTAGGAGTGCCCAAGGGTCCTGTTTAGGTCCCTGTTGTTTATCATCTACATAAATTGACATCCTGAAACTCATCAATTATAGGAACGTTTATACTATTTGACGATGACACTAACATATTTATTGAAGAAACATGTGTCAGAAGACTGTACGAAAAAGGGGGGAAATGAAGTTTTAGCATCTGTTTATAGGATATGAAACTAAACTTATTTTACATATTAACATAAGAAGAAATGCTGTTTTATTCCCACTTTAGACCGTCACGTGCCAAGAGGAAGTAGAAAATGACGAGAACATATTAACTTGGAAACAATGGTGTCATTTATAAAAAGTCCAAGGAAAGCTCAAATTTCTAGGTGTCCATTAGCGATGAATCAACATATGGGGAAAAAACTCACACACGGTCACTCTTAACTCAAAACTAAAATGTGAAGTAGGGTAAGTTATGCAGAATCGACACATTGGCCCTAAAACAGTATTATAAGGATTTATACCATACTTTATTCGAATCACATTTGAGGGATTTGGAATATCCTGTATGGGTGGTCATTAGCAACAACCGGAACTCGGAACCTCTCTTTTAAAAACAAAGAAAAAATTTGTATAAGAATTTTTTTTTTTTTTCTTTTTAAAACATTTTTTTTTTTGTGGGGATAAGAAGGCATACTTAGAAGAAATTTTAAGAACTTTGCGCCGGACAGACCATAGGTGAGCAAAGACTAGGTGTGGGACTTTTGCAAAAAAGAACACTCTTAAGCCCTTGTTTAAGAATAGAAATTGTTACTGCCACAACTGTATAAGGTACATTGTCTCTTAGGAACTATTCAAAATTTTAGAGTTAGAGGAACCTTATCACTGTACTCATTTCATTTAACAGGTCACCACTGACGAGAGATTATTTCATCACATCACAACCATCCTCACAATTAATCCTTACCAATCATCCTACATGTGGGAACAGCTGTCGACAATCATCAAGTAAGATAAGTTTTAATCTCTGTCAAAACGGGTTTTTTTAAGAATCATTGAAAATTGCTTTACAAGATTGCATTCAAGCATGATACACTTGATAGGTGTGTGAGCTTAATTTTGCCACGAATAAGCTCAGTTTTGATTATATGTGAGTTACTAAAATAACCACTTATATTTCCTCATACATGCAACCACTGCACTCCAACTAACAACATGATTTTACCACAGTCACACACAAATACTCCACAGATTGATATATTTATAATATACACACAAAACACACTACAGTACCCGAACAATTGCACTGTAAAACATGCTCACGATACACTCAAAATTAGGATATATTCGGCTCGTATATTGAACTTAGCGACTTACACTTCCAGTGGTACACCCTGTTGTTTTAACCAGTATTTACAATAGTAAATTCTACGTTAACGCGCGGGGGGGCGAAAACAATAATTCTGTAGCGTTTTTATTGTCAAATATCACGGGTCCGCGGGATTATTTAATCGCCGCGCGCGCGTAACAAATTTCTTTCTGCTAAACTCAGCGACCTTAAACACACAACGACTTTGACAATTGACAGACTGACTAAAAAATTGTGAGTTATGACGACTAACTTGCATGGTGTCAACTATGAACAAATATATTGTTTAATATCTTATTCATTATATGCGAATTGAGTTGACGAAGTATCTTAAGCAGCACTTTATACCCCACTTTCAGAACTTGATTAGTCACTGAACAATAGAATCATTCAAAAAACCAATAACAATTAAAACATCTTGTCAATAAATGCCTAGCAGCACCAGAACAGCAGCCGTGTTACCGTTTTCGACTCCGTTGGCAGTCCCTGATGGACTTTTGTTTACTTTTGTTAATAATGGACCAACCTTTCTTTCTCGAAACATGTATCCTAGTAAGTGTCATGTCTAGATTACTGTAACGGTTCTGTACTTTGGTTATCAGCGAGATGCTGCTGGCATAGCTCAAGTTAACTTCAGAATGCTGATGCAAAAGGCTTTCATGGTAAATATACACTTGAACCATCTTGATGATGACCTGATAAAGCTTTCACTGGTTAGATGTTAAAGAAAGGATTGTCTTCAAAATCTTATTACTATCTCACAAGTCACTGTTAGGATTGGGCACAATTTATCTGCAGGACCATGTTCAAGTATGATCATCATGGTCACTCATTGAAGCTTATTGTTCCTTCTTGTAATTTCAAAGTTTTGGTGGCGTTAGCTTCTCTTTGTGTGGCTCCAAAGATTCTACAATCGTTTCTGCCTGTTACCATCTCCTATGACCAATCTCTGGAATTTTTTAAAGCTTTTTCTAAAAATTACCTTTCAAAATGTCTCCAGATGAACTGAAAAACCTTATCGATAAACTATGGTGGTCATATTTGGGAATTCGATATTTGCATAATATATTTAAGTACAATTTTCGGGCTTAGTAGTGACGATATATTTTCAAGCATATGTTTATTTTTTAGCGCAGTATTCATGATATTTTCTGGGATGACTAGTTCAAACACTGCTGAGTATAAGATTTATCCTTAAAAGCGGTATTATTAAAATTTCAATTATTTTATTATTATCCTATTTGTATTTCATTATAGTATTAGTTTGTGAAGTATACTTGATATTACCAAGAAAAATAGAGGTATAAACCAAATTGGCCTTGATATGAACATTATAACCGTGTTGATGGTTTAAATTTGATGTTGTAAGCACTTTTAGTTTGTTGAAAGCGTTTACTTCCTCCCCTC